ATATAATATCAGATTTTAACATTGTCTTTTTAGAAATTGTTTGGGTTGTTGATCCCTGAATGATATTAATATATTAAAAAGTAGCCAAAAGTACCAACAATTATAAAGAAAGACGTTTCATCAAATGAAAAAAGAATTGCTTTTTGCCTTTACTGAAAATCTCTGTGCTAACTTGAGATTAGTTTGATCGTGAATATCATACTCATCTCCCAAAACTATTTCTAAGAAAATTAAGTTGCTGAGAAGAGAATAAATTAAATCGGTTGCATATTAGTGGATACTAGAAATAATTTTGGTGGGTGTAGGTTAAGATTGATTAGTGGGCTATCTTATTATATAAAGTTTGATGCATCAAACATAATAATTAACAATATCGGGACACGTGGTAATCAGATTTTAACACATGTTAAAAAGAATTATACAATTTTTTTTTGTTTAAACTTATATATTTGTATTTATCAACTAGATTATAAAAATCAATATAGATCAAGATTTTTCAATTAACCTCTATTTAATAATTCATTAAACTAATTAGTCGATACGCATGATTTGTTCTTTTAAATTTTATCTTTATTAGGTGTATTGGTTTTGTTTTTACATACAACCATTTTTTTCTCTTTTCCTATACGTCTATTAGATGAAATAATTTTGAAGATTTTTTTAATAAGAATATTAATTAATACACATGTAAAAAAAAGTTGAGTTCAAATAGAATTAAGTTTACATACCAAATCTTTATGGATTATAATATTTTGCATTTATACAATAAGGTTTTGTGCTCTCTCAATCTTTTCACCAAACAAATTTAACCTTGAGTAATCTCTTATAGAAATTTTATTTCAGATTTTTCATTAGAAAATAACATTCTTATTCGATAGGTGAACACACAAACATTTTTAAAAATTTTAGATTTGGGTTAACTATTGAGTTTGAATTAACTATTTTATAGTAAGGGTATATATTTTAGGGGAGAGAATTTAATATCTGTCTTTAAAAACTGAACAATTGAAACAAAAATGCAAATAGAAACGTCAACACACAAACATTTTTAAACTTTTTAGGTTTGGGTTAACTATTGAGTTTCAATTAACTATTTTATGTTAAGGATATAGATTGTAGGGGAGAGAATTAGGGTTTTTATTTACATTATAATTTTTTTTTCAAAAATTGAAATC